CTTTCCCTCGAGACCATTTTCTACATTCAGAGGCAGAAGTCCGGTTTTTGCAGAGTAGAAATGGCCACAGGAGAATTTCAAACAAGTTTCCGTAGAATAAACATAAACAACACACCCAGAAATTTTTAGCAAAAGTATCTTGCTGGCTGAGCTAATGAGTCTCTTCCCTTCGAGACCATGCTACCTGTGTTGTTTTGCTTTTGAGGGTAGAAGTATGGGTTTTGCAGAGTAGAATGGCCACGAACTTCAAACAAGTTTCTGTATAATAAAACATCGACATCCAGAAACTTCTGGCGAAAATATCTTGCTGCCTGAGGCCATAATTCTTTCTTCCCTCGAGACCAAGCTCCTTGTGCTTTTTTGCTTTTAGGGCCAGAAGTGTGGTTTTTGAGTTTTGTGGTTTTTGCGAAGTTTGGGAGTCAAACGTCTTAGCGAAAATGTCTTGTCGGATGAAACTCATGGGCCTGTCCATCCCCAGAGACCACTTTTCTGCTTTCAGAGGCAGAAGTATGGTTTTTGCAGAGTGGAATGGACAGAAGTAAATTTCAAGGAAATTTCTGTATAATTAGATATCGACTCGTAGAAATTCTTAGCGAAAATTTCTTGCCGCCGCAGTTTATAAGCCTCTTCTTCCCTCGAGACCAGGCTCTTTGTGCTTTTCTGATTATAGGGGCAGAAGTAGGTTAAAAAGTAAAGGCGGGCCAAAGTGAATCTATAACAACTTTAGGTAAATTTACCGTCTTCGTCAATTACGAGTGTGATTATAGAATTCTCAGCATGTTCACTTACTCCCGGACCAGTGCCATCTCAGCCTCGTACCTTCAGTTGAAGAAAGATGAAATCAATAAAAGTAATGGGCATTTCTTGAATTGGTTATCTTATTCGTAATCAGCATGTTCGCTTACCCCCCTGTGCCAACTCCCAGCCAGGGCCCGACCAGAGGTGCGATAGGGGGAGCCAAGTCTCCCCCTACCTTCACTTTTGAGCTGGTACGGGGTGACCACCTTCACTTTTGGAATGAAAAATTTTTCGCTGGACGACAAAGAAGGAAAATAAGCAAAACAAACGCAAAAAAGATTATTGAAAGCATATATTTATGTATACGGCGGCATATATATTTAAAATAAAGGTTTTTAGTAAATGGTGTATTTGGAAGTAAAGCTTAGCAAAACTGTACGGATTTTATTAAGCAAATTATGTTATAACGTATAGCGAAGGAAGTAGGTCGATCCAGGCAGTAACGGCGGAGAACCAGAATTTTGAATATTTAAATAGTGAAAAATCATGCGAAATTTCCACTGTTATAAATCTGTTGTTTGAAGATGTCAGCAGTTGCGACTTCATAGGTTTTGAAGAGTAGATGTTGCTCTATCAGCTAGTGAAGGAATCGGGTCGATTTAAGAGATAGTCGTTGAAAACCAGAGTTCTAAAACTTTACGCCATTTTTGCGTGTTTTTTGACTGTTGAGAGTTAAACTCTTATAAATCTTGAATGTGGAAGTGTATGATGTTGCGACTTCATAGGTTTTATAGAGTAAGGTTTGCCTTATCAGAATATGTCTTGTCCTTTCCGATCCATTGAAACACCTCCGAGATCCAGAGTCATGAAAAAGCAGGTAAAAAAGAGCTTTTTGAACTTCAACAGCTCATAACTTCTTCAGGATTGCACGAATCATGTTGCGACTTCATAGGTTAGATTCTTCTTGTCAAGAGCTTTCAGATGATATATAATGTGTGGGGGTTTCGCGCCTCTTACGGCATATGCCCGGGGGGGGGGGAGACTTTTTAGGCCAAAGTCTCCCCCGGCAGCCTCCAGCCAATACATTAAAATGGGCGAGGGGGAGACTTTGGCCTAAAAAGTCTCCCCCCCCCCCGGTCATAATTCGCAGGAGGCTCTAAACCCCCACATATTATAAATCATCTGAAAGCCCTTGATGAGAGGAATCTAAACTATGAAGTCGCAACATGATTCATGCAGTTCTGAAGAAGTTATGAGCTGTTGAAGTTCAAAAAGCTCTTTTTTACCTGCTTTTTCATGACTCTGGATCTCGGAGGTGTTTCAATGGATCGGAAAGGACAAGACATATTCTGATAAGGCAAACCTTACTCTATAAAACCTATGAAGTCGCAACATCATACACTTCCACATTCAAGATTTATAAGAGTTTAACTCTCAACAGTCAAAAAACACGCAAAAATGGCGTAAAGTTTTAGAACTCTGGTTTTCAACGACTATCTCTTAAATCGACCAGATTCCTTCACTAGCTGATAGAGCAACATTTACTCTTTAAAACCTATGAAGTCGCAACTGCTGACATCTTCAAACAACAGATTTATAACAGTGGAAATTTTGCATGATTTTTCACTATTTATTTATTCGAAATTCTGATTCTCGGCCGTTACTGCCTGGATCGATCTACTTTCTTCGCTGTACGTCATAACAAAATTTGCTTAATAAAATCCGTACAGTCCAACAAACTTCTACTTCCAAATACACCATTTACTAAACACGTCTATTTTAAATTTTTATAAATAAAATTTATAGATATTTTTTATATTCATCGTATCTGTGGCCCCAAAGAGGGCCGTTGGGTCGACGTTAGACCTAGAAAGATAGCTCCGTTCGTCCGTTCTATCCTCCCCCCGCACCTCCCCCCCCCCCCCCGTCGACGTTTTTGGGAGGTGAGTGTCCGACACTACCACCTTCACTTTTGGCCGGCCAGTGGTAGCTGAAACCACCTTCACTTTTGGGGGACCCGGCTCCCCCTATCGCACCTCTGGGCCCGACACAGATCGTCTGGAAGCAGGCTGGACTTCGTTTTTGAAGCAAACAGCGGATATCGTTTTTGACGAGTCGGAAACGAGCACCAAGAATAAGTGCCATTTAGTCGAACATAAGCTTTTCAGACAGGTTATCACACGATTGGCATGCTCTATCGTGCATAGCGAAAAGTGCGCGCGATTTGAAAGCAAGGCTTAAATGAACAAATTGCTTGTTTACAGCGCACACAGAAGCATATGACACCAAAATTGAACTGTGTGTATAGAAATTTATTTGCGAAAGTATTATGTAAAAAGATCTGAAACTTATGTGAAGTAATACCTTTTCCAACATTAGATCGTCTCCAGACGGCCACCAGATGATCTGAGATCGTCTGGAGCACATATTTTCGTCAGTTCACATAAGTTTCAGATCTTAGCATGGACGGATTCCCCGGCCAAAAATCTATCCCTGAGCATGAAGACATTTTCATATCATTGCCTTTTCTTTGCTTTTGCCTTCATTTCTTCTCGCTTTCTTAAATATCGCGCTCTAATGCCAAAGTCTTGTGCATGCGTAGTATTCAGGCTTCAATTTGGATTTTCACTCTTAATTACGTCTTTTCTTCCAGACTAATAAATCTTTATTGTTTTCATCTTCTCCTAAGCAGGTAGGTCAAAGTGGACTTCGTAAAACTTCCGGAAGTCAGGGGAGACTTCATTTTCAGAATCCCTAGGAACCGACTCGTGCCGGGCCCTGCTCCCAGCCCCATAGTCAAAATTTGCAAAAAAAATCGATAAAGTGATAAAAGTAATGGGCATTTTTGAAAATGGTTATCAAATTCTAATCAGCATGTTCGCTTACCCTCCTGTGCCAACTCTCAACGCTGTAGCTCGAGCTTTGCAAAAAATCGACAAAATGATAAAAGTAATGGGCATTTTTGAAAATGGTTATCATATTCGTAATCAGCATGTTCGCTTACCCTCCTGTGCCAGCTCTCAACGCTGTAGCTCGAGCTTTGCAAAAAATCGATAAAATGATAAAAGTAATTGATAATTCTAAAAACTAATATTGTATTCGTAATCAGCATGTTCGCTTAACCCCCTTCGCCAACTCCCAGCCCCGTAGCTTGAACTTCGCAAAAAATCGACAAAATGATAATTTAACTAATAATTCTAAAAACTAACATTGTATTCGTAATCAGCATGTTCGCTTACCCCCTTGTGCGGAGTTTGCCTAACGGTGGGCAGGTCCTGGTTAAAAGTTGCCTGGGGTCTTTGCGTTCATCTGCAACCTCATCCATGCTTTTTAAGAACAAAAAGAGTCCTTGTGAAGAGGCAAAGAAGTGGGCGGAGTTTGCCTAAAGGGCGGGACTAATTCATGAAGTACATTTGAGCCTATGTTGATTATATGAACAAAAATGAGAAGATTGGACAGGTAGTATCAAAATTAAGGCCGCCGCGCATCATTGCGCGGCACTGCCGTCAGCGTGTGAAGAGTATCACACATGCCATCGCTCCGGACTTGACATAACATGATATAATACAACGCAGTGGATGGCCTACGGGAACAGACACTAAAACGAGAGGGGTTTTTTGACTCACTAAGTGGCTTGCAAACTTTGAAAGATGATTTATATAAATTGCAAAAATCGTTGTGACTTGTTTTTGCTTGCGCACAAAGAAAAAAATCAAAAACTCGAAAATTTAGAACTGTCGTAGAAGAATATTCTAGGAACTCGTTGTCGGGAGTGTGCGAACTAATCGATTCGCTGACTTCCCCTTACCACTGTTAAAAGGCTAGTCCCCGACGGACATCCATATCAGGTAATCGAACGTGAGTGCGATGCGCGAGCGTTTACTGGCGTCGCTGTGAGCGTCACATGCGCTCTAGCGATATGCTCTATCGTCGCGTATGCGACAGTAAACCACCCGCCTTCGTCCGAGACTGACCTCTAACACTGGTGTACGGTCTAATTCGAGAAAAAAAATGAAGGCACCCTAATAAGCTTGGGTCTTTGACTCAAATAACCACGTCCAAGAAACGTTCGCCTATGCCATTCAACATCTGTACTGAAGTTTTTTTCCACAATCATAAAAGCTACAGCTTTTATTAGATCCTTTATCAAACTTCATAAAAACTGTCTAAGCCCATAAATGAATTTCTACCTAGGAAAACCTAAAATTTCAATATGTCCAGCCTCCTGTAGCTGCCATGTGAATGATCCCACAAGAATAAATTTATTTATACAACAAATATTTATTGCCACAAAAACCAGTTCTACGGCAACCATAATCCAACCAATCCGGGCCATCAAGATAACATTCCCACCATCGGCGTTTTCCCAAAACATGAAAAGCACGTGTTTCAAAAACGAATTCCTCGTCGCTACCAGAGGAGCCAGATGGTGTAGCTATTCCTTCTTCCGCGACGGCGTCTTCAGATATTGCAAGTTCTTTATCAGCAACTATGGTTAGTTCGCCATCGAAAGGTTGAAGGTTGCGAAGTCTCGCGGCAAGGTGATGGAGGCCATAGTACTGAAAAAGAGCTGTGAACTGACAAGACAGCTTTCTTTTCAGATTATTTGGGCGCGACGATTCCGTAAAAAAGCCCATTATGTCGGGTAACCCATTCGCACAAATTTTGACTCCATATTGTAAACCTACCGTAGCCACTTAAATGGCCCAGCCCTGCGGTCAGATTGATAGAATAGTAATCGAGTGACTAACTCTGGTGAGAAATCTAGCAAAGCCGCGGCCTTGAGCCCGTCGCGCACACCTACCGTAATCCCACAGGATTCCGCTATCAAGAGGAAAGAGTGTATACGGTGTGATTAGTGTGTCAGATAATTACCAAAAACCACACCTCAGCAAGATGGATCTACTTTTAACCCTAATACCGCAGCTCCACAAAAAAACCTCACCAGGTCGCAAAATGGGTACGGTAGGGCACTATTCCAATTAAAGGCAGTGTCCAGGCAAAAAGTCGATTTTGGGATCTTGTGCGTATCCGGGCCTATTCGCTATGCTGAATCCGAATATCCACACTGCAGAGCGCGAAAACAGCGAAAAGGGCTCCACAGCAAGATAGAAATCAGCAAGTGGGTGTGGTTTTTCCGCAATGTGGCTTAACGATCCCAGCTTCCGGGGCGTTCCGGTTACTTTTATGTCATACATTCGTACATGCCCGGTGGCGATGTCAGGGCGGCTAGCGGAAGCGAGAAGATCGTTCCGGAAGCTGGGACATGAATTTGCAGTGAAGAAGACCGCCCCCTGCTTTCCCTCATGCGTTAGAGCTTTTTTCTGCCGCTTCCGCGCTTGTGTGGATTTTCGGATTCAGCATAACAGCAATAAGCCCGAGTAAGCGCAAAATCTCAAAGTGGATTTGCCCGTACACTGCCTTTGAACGAACAAAATCTAAAGAGCGGCTTTCACTTTAGGAAACCGCCTACAGGAGTTATTCGAAGCGCTGCTCACCAGAATGGAACTCATTTCGCACGGTAGGGCTTTTACGGTAGGCATACAGTAAGATGTGGGGTCAAAATCTCAATCTTCCTGAAACTTTCACAGAAGGTCTATTCCACATGCTGGAATGCGAATACCACACTTTTTTGCACGAAAACGTGTCCATGCATGGTTGAGGTAAATGTATGGTAAGGGTCAAAACCACAGACTTCCCTAAAGTTTCGCATAGAGGTGTATTTAGCACGCTTAACATGTATATTATCATTTCGCACGGTAGCTCATTTTTCGGGTAATGTTGGGCATCGGTAGATAAGCCGAAGTTCCGAAATCGCTCAAAACCTTGTCTAGAAGGTTTTACAATATGCAGACTGCAATATCATGCTTGCTCGCTGCAATAAAGCCTTATTGCGGAGTAATGGTAATTTGCAGCGTATGAACAAACATCCTTTCCATTTTCCAAGCCAATCTACATCACAAAAATTCATGAAAATGTCTTCATGCGAAATGTTTGTGATCACGCATCGAACCCCCCCCCCCCTACCTTCCCCGCAAAAAGTTTGACGCAGATGTACGATTTTGACAGCTTGACATATGCCTACCGTAACTTTGAAAAAAGGTCCCAGCATGATCAGAATGTAGAACAACCCTCAAAAAAAGTGAAGCCAAATCTAGGATTCCGACCTCCTATCGTATACAAGGAGACGTTCTCGCGGGTAAGAAGAGTGATATCGCGATCAGCATGCCTATGACCCCTGAGTGCAAAAATTCGGCGAGATTGGATTTTGATCCATACTGTATGCCTACTATTAGGTCGTTCCGAAAGTAATGTCGCTTTTTTCAAACGTATGCCACATCTCGTGGAACAAAGATATGTAGAAGATTCTGGTAGCATTTGATGCAGCAATTCATTCTCTTTCTAATGGTTATATAACTACCGCACAAAATTGAATAACCTCTGAGAAAATTATCGGAATCTGCGACCCATGCTTTTTGAGAAGGTCAAGTTTCACAATTTTTCCAAATTTTTATAACAACCCCCGAAAGGAGTCCAAGTTATGTATGGATAAAGCAAACCCTATGGGAAACAGTACAACTTTTTTCTACTTTTCAGAGCTCGTCATAATTTCTGTATAGATTTTTTGATGGAACCACCGAATTTTAGCAGGCTCGTCTCAGACACAAATGCATCAAGCACCAGTAAATCTTCGGGTTTTGAAACTTACAAAAATGGATTATGGTTTTACACTAATTTTACAAAGCAAATGAGCGTTTACCGCTTCCGATTAGCAACTTTCGAAAATTCCGTGTACAGCCGGAGGCGCGCTGGAAAACCTGAATTACGATGATTTTATCTCGGAAAACTCGATGAATCGAAAACCAAAAACAACTGATAAAAAGAGGAGAAAAAGCTGCGTCGAATGACACCCGAGTTGCTTGCCGGTTTTTGTTCTGTGAGGTTTAAGTTGACCAAATATGGAATTTGATGGCATCGAAGAATTGGTTCCAGAAACTCTAAGAAGCAAGCTAAGGAGAAGAAAAAAATTATTCTGTTCCTATAGGATTTGCTCTATCTACCTGCCACTTGTACTTCTTCGGAGAATAGGTACAAAAATTTTAAAAAATTGCCGAACTTGACCATGGCAAAAAGCATGAGTTGCAGATTTTGTTAATTTTTCGAAAGCTCAATGAAAAATATGCAATGAAATTACAACTTCTAGAAAGAGGATGAAATGCTGCATCGAATGCTCCTAAGATCTCTTGAAAATCTTGATTCCATGAAATGTGGCGTTCATTTGAAAAAAGCGACATTACTTTCGGAACGACCTAATATTTTGATACCTTGAGAAACGGCCTACCATGCGAAACAATTTTCGTGATCGGCAGGTCGAACAAGCCCTCTAGACAGATTTTCAGCTGATTCCGTGTTTTTGATTTTATGGTTTGTGTCAAGTGGAGTAGTACTCAACAAACCTTTTGATTCAACGGATTGGCGGCTAAAAGAAGGAGCTTCCATGATCTAGTTAAGGCTAGAGAATCATGAGAGCACGAACGCAAGGGAGACGCCGACTGCGTCGCGGGCGCGAGCGGCCTTAATAGGTCACAAAGCCCCGCCTTACTGCCCTCAATCCAGTTGCATCAAAGGCTACGAGATAAATCTGTCAAGTGGCCAATAGATCAAGCTGAAGAGGAATTTTTGGACTCAAAACTTCGTGTATCAGAACAATTCCAATTCCATTGGACTCACCTCGGCTTCCTGCTGCAACAGAGCAAGTAGATGTTCATCGTACCGTATACTGAGTCTTCCGTCTTGCAAGTAAAATACGATTTGCCCAAAAAGTTCGGGGTCTCGGTCAAGAAACAACTCTCCCGAGCACTACAAGTACAGCTTAAGTCGTAACAATCAAGAAAAACATCCCTCACCGGAAGATCCATGCATAGAAATATGCTCAAATCATTTGCGCCTGGACACTTTCTTAGCGTCCTTGTGTTAAGGAGAAATTTCTCACCACGGAGATTTAGTATGACCGGATGAAACATTGTGGAAATCCTGGAACTCGAGGAAATGAATTTTTACAGCAATCATAAAGTACATTCATGGAAACGCAACAAGCTATCACGGAAGAAGAAAATGTCTTGTTTCCAGTAAAGCTCAGGGTATAACAATTGTCGCCAAAAAGAGGTCCCACAAAATTTGCGACAAATCACGCCTCTAGATAGACACAGCCTCGTGCGAGTCGCTCGCGAGGGTGGAGCCTATCTGGAACGTAAAGCTTCTACTAGAACCGAATCATAAACACTGAGATCGCGATTGGTCCTGGGACGAAACGCTGCTGTTGACATCGGTGGTTTAGGTAGTGAGCGAGGCTGATAGACTTTTATAACCGCACTAGAGTGAAATGCAGTGTTGAGGAAGCCTCCTCTTACAGGGGAAGGGTACTTGGTCGAAGTGGCGTTTCCATATGAAATATAAATTGTCTTATAGAGCATGATTCCAAATTTGCTTTCATTACCTGCAAAGCTGATTTGGGAGGTGAGTTGTGGGAATTTTTTGAGGTGAAAATCTAAGGGCTTGGTTAAGATAAAAGCAGGTGTTGAAGTCTTTCCAGCGCCCAAAAGGAGTGATGACTGGCACGATTTTATTAGACTTAAGTATTTATTGCATAAAGCGCCCTGGCAGTAATCAAGGCACTCTGTGAGCTCAAAGATTACAGTTCTGAATAATTTGATTGGCAGAGCATCATTTTTGCATCGAAAAATTCAAATAGCTCCGCTCCTAAAAGCGCTCCGCAAATACCAAAAGCAGATTTGAGTATATATTTCATATACTAACGCCGCTTGAATCAAATATCCTTCCTTTGTTAGAGAATCTGATGGAACAAGAAATTCTTTCTGTTAATGCGCATAGCAAACAGCTTTCTGAATGCGACGTAGGAAGAAAAACTGATTTTTGCGGTTATCAACCGCGCTTGGTGTGCGAGGTGATTGATTTTATTGGGACTAACAATGACAGCGATCTTTTGGATCGCTAAGTGGATAGTGGGTTGAGGAGCAAGCTGGTAAGTTCTACAACACAGTGACTGATTTTACTGCTTCAACTAAAGAGAAAAGCAAACTTTTCCCAGTAATGCTCTGAAGTCAGACTTTTTGAACAAATTCTAAATTGATCTGTGGAATTGATCTGAGAAGTTGACTGCTAGATTGCTTTCACTAATACAATATCGAATCCGCCAGCGAGACCTATTACCTAAACGGAGCGGAACGCAGCTTATCATACTCCTTGAAATGATCATCTGAGGAGATGACTTGCTCTAGAAGCGAAATCTCTTTACACAAATGATACGCTTTTGGTACACACAAAACCCAAAAATAAAACAGTATAAACGCCAGAAGATTTTGAAATGCAAAAATTACCTGAGAAACGGTTATTTCCTAAAATGATACATTAATCAAAGAAATTCAAACATTCTCATACGGCAAAATTTAGTGTACTGCGCTTCCTTTCTATAAACAAGGAGATTTCAACAAAACTCGAGTACAATCGCTGAGCATAACTCACAAGGGGATTGGTTGGTATAAAGCCCAAACAGGAAGAAATCTGCCTTGTGTTATGAAGTTGTTGCTCAGGATGGCTCACAGGCTGGTAAATATACTGACACGAAAACAATGTCTTGAGACAGTTCGATGTGCCCAAACATGTCTCGAGACTGTTTTGCATGCAAAGCAAGTGGTATGACGGTTTGATTTTTGGTATTTCTGCCCAGGTTGCGGGAAAAAGTTCGAGACAATTCCATGTATCCATCTGTCTTGTATGCACGAGGGACGGGTCCGCAATATTTCGTCCAAATCGTCAAGTAGTATATTTCCACAACTGCCACCAGTTATCGTGTTTCGAAAGTACAAGATAGTTACAGGTTGCGTAGTGATGATCTATGAGAATAAGTCATCTGCGAACACACTGCCAAGTTCCTGTGCTTGTATTGTCACTTTTAGGGATAAATCTTTACAACTTCACGGCAAAGCCTCTGCATATGTAGTAGTCTTAGCTACACATTTTGAATCAGGGAATGTCAGCTTAAAGTCTCAGAAAGTTCACGATGCAGAACGCTTTAGTCCATTTACCATTGTTTTTCAGCTGTTTAATTTGCAAGTCACAAGACTAGGGGAACTTTCGAATGATACAAACATTTCCATATTAAACAGGAAAATCTTGCAAAACAGCCTTGGACACAAGAATTGGACAGAAGTAGGCAGCAGTCTAGTACATACTTGAGAACAGTTGAGATGATGGTAGACATGCGTATAGCCTTTGTATGCTTCATCAATTGTTCTTCTCTTCTACAGCTTTTCAACCTGTTAGCTCTCATGCCTACTTTATCTGATTCTCACAATCTTGGGATTTTTTTCGTTGATTTGGTCTTGAAAATGGGTGAACTGGGAAAATCCCCGCTAACAGCAATGCTTTGATAGCGAGAAAAACAAACGGGTGGAAGCCGAACAATTCAAGCACTTATTTAGATCTGCTCTTGTGAACTCCCCAAGGAATTTTTCAGCTCGCATCTATCTTTCAACATCATCGCTATTACGAGTCATTCAAATGTGATTGTAAAATAATGGGTTGAGGACATTAGGTCGCCGAATTTGGAAGAGTCCCGCGCGGATTCCCTGCAGGAACGCATGTCCGCGTATGTACAAAGGTGCGTATTTGTCGCAAATGACCGCGGGGACCGCCCTCTTTCGGCGACCTAATGTCCTCCACCCTAAAATAATCACATGGAGTGGCATCTTACGGTAGCTACTAATTTGTGCTACCGTAACCTGTTTGACTGAAGAATCATTTAATGATGCTCTGCAAGTTAGGCCCACTTTTATTAGGTTGGGACATGGTCTTACACCAAAAACTTTGAAAAAAATGCAGCTGAAACGCTCTCACGGCAGCATTCCGTTCCCTATATATTTTTTCTTTACATCAAATATTTCATTCCGAACAATGTCAAAATTGATAATAAATATTCCAATATTACAACTTCTCAAAGAGACGTCCTATCAGCTCGAAGTTATTTTATCTAAAAAGCGTAAGTTATAAAACTCAAACAAAGTAGAATCAAAAATTCTTGACGTTTAAGCATTTTTGGGAAGTAAAGGTAAAAAAATACACAGTATGAGTGTTTGCCTTCAACAGGTAATCTTGCAATGGTATGACAATGCTGATTTTTGCTTTGGAAATATTTGGAGAGAGTAAGGTTTTCTCCATAAATTATAATATTTCAGACGGACCATTGGATCTGGAGATTACGGAGTTCTAGAAAATTTTGATGCAAGACTTATGTTCAAATCGAATACCTACATTTGCTAAATTCCTAATAAACCGTTTAACTAGAGCTCATACATTCATTTTGAATTTCTGCTGTCATCTTGCGAATTTTATCGCTCCCTTGCTGTTACCTACTTATCCGCCACTATTAAGCTTACCTATAAGCCTACCCCGAAGATTCTACGTAATTTATGCCAAACCCCATACTTTCCTGTGACTCCAATAAACAAATACGATACTATCAACAGTCGCATTTATTGCTGAATAAAGAAGAGAACAACAGATACAGCAATCAAATGTCATGGTCAAAGATGATTTCTAGGAATGGGTATCGCGAAGTACGGACCAGGAGTAAGGTTTTCGAAAACTTCGGATGGGAGAGTCTCCACAATCGTGGGCTGAGACTGACACTCGATGTGCTGCACAAGGCTCTCGAGTCCATAAAACTGAAAGAAAAACTTGGACTGAAGCAAATAGATTAGGTATTACTTAGTCGAAGCCATTGCCCGAAATTTACTCAAGGAAATTTGAACTGATTTATCGTTGAAATTCTAAAGCCAACCTGAGCTTCGCGCTTTAGCTGGGCACTGATGCTTCCACTTCCATTTACACTCACGGTACCATCGCGAAGATAATTTAGGATATAGTTAAAATGAGTAGGGTCCCTATCGATGAAAACTTCCTCGCCTTCCTGCAAATCTCAAATTCACTATATACAGCTATTGGCAGAAGCACAGAATGATCACCCACCATAAAATCCATCTCCGCAAGCATGCTTCTGTCTAAAGGACCCGGGTTCTTCCTCAGTGTCTCGAGCGAGGTATAGAACTTCTTTCCGCCAACATTCAATATAACGAGCATGCTGAAATCAAGAGAGTAGAAGAATGAAGCTGTTCAATGCAGATGACCAACATGGAGTGAGACGATTGCTCTTACGAAACTACGTTGACATCGACGTTGTCACATGCGGGCGTGGCACAGATACCTTTTCCGTTTCGGACCCAGCCGTCTGCCTCGTTATCGAGCGTAGCCATGATTCACACGGCTGGCATCGCATAACCCATCGAGCGGATGCTATGACAAATCGCTGAACAAGTTTTACATTGATAACTTTCACTTTAAGTCCCAATTTAACGCAAAAAAGGAACCGATTGAGGAACGAAGTCCAAAAGGTACGAAATCTTGCATGAAGCCTACCGAAACATTGCCGCCTCAAGAACGAACAATTTGATTAGGAGAGGCAACAGACATTACGCCCTGTCAAGGAAATAACGAAATAGAAGAATAAGAAAGAAACCAGAAATTTTCTTGGGACACTTAATGCACATGTACTATGGAGTACCGAAGAACTTTGCAGAAGCACTACTGTGCTGCTATGAAGAGTACAGATACATGTGTGAACGACTCACGAAAGTAATAAATTCAATGCAGTGCAGGAATGCATTCAAACTGTTTCTGAGCAAAGGATGCCAAATCCGCGGAATTCCTCTCCATACGTTTCAGTCATCAAGCGTGAACGACTCACCTGTTTCAGAGAAAAGAATGCTCAATCAAGCTCCTTTCCAAGCATGGTCCGGCACAGGTAGCTTACAAGCAAGCTGGATATCGTTTTTGGGACAAAAAGCAAAGGGGTTCCGTTTTTGTGGCCAAAAAGACACGAAACTTGCGACGTTCTTTTTCTGGTCGACGTTTCGTTTTTTGAGGATTTTTTACGGATTATGGACTAGAGTCAAAGGGGACTTCGTAAAAATTCGCAAAAGTCAAGGGAGACTTTGTTTTTTGCATTTTCAACTAGCCACCTCGTGCCGAGCCCTATCTCCGAGCACGATGTGTTAGTCATTGAACAATTGAAGCGCAAGGTACAAATCATCGTGCGCTTAATAATTCTGCAATTCTCTGAATGGATATCGAAATAAACTCGAAAAACTTTACATCGAATACAGAAAGTTGCCTGCCCCATTACTGACAATGAATCACCGCGGAGACCAAGAAGGACGGCAAGAAGCAGATTCTAATATATAAAGAATCGTAACTCCAATTTGAAAATCATAAATAGTGGGAAACCGCGATGCGGTCCGAAGCGCGCGGATACGATCTAGCACCCTTAAAGGCAGCGTCCAGGCAAGTCTGGACCTATGGGGATTTCATGTCAAAAGTACTTTTGTGGCCCCTAACTAAGCCACTGCCCAACCGGCAGCTCAGGAAGTGCTGTAATGGCTGAGATATTCCCCTCGAAACTGGCCCCCGCGAACGTAATCGCATGGATTCATGGCAGTTTCGCGCCAGGATCCACGCTTTGCGCCATGAATCCATGCGAAACACGGTCGCGGGGTCCAGTTTCGAGGGGAATATCTCAGCCATTACAGCACTTCCTGAGCTGCCGCTTGGGCAGTTCCTTAGTTAGGGCCCCAAAAGTACTTTCCACGTAAAAGCCCCATAGGTCCAGATCTGCCTGGACGCTGCCTTTAATTACTGGTTCACTAGTAGTGAAAGAAAAGAAAATGAAGCCCTTCAAAGCCAAGAAAATACAAGAAGAGAACAAAGACATAGGGAATGTCAAAGAGGATAAAAAGAAAAACAGTAGCAAACAAGATCAAGAGAGAGGGACAACATATACAACTTGTATAGCAACCTTTTAGTGGAGTTTGTTATATTCGTCTTTATTGATCAGAAGTTGCCAAGTGAATTTTCTTGCTTCTTTTCCTCTTCCAAATCTTATGAAGAAAAGTACCATTACGACCGATGCATAATAAGCTCATCTTATTCGCTTAAAATCTACACAGGAACAAATATGTATGTGGGTGTCCGTAAAGTATGTATACACTGTTTGATCGTTAATATCTTTCTTCCTAACAAGTCTTTTGCCTTGCTTCAGATAATGTTTGTAGAGCTGGCTTCAACTTAGATTTGCAGTTTAGAACGAATCACTCATCTTTCTTCATTACTGTAGGATTACGGTAGAAACTAGAGGGTTTTGAGCCATGAAAGGTCATATTTTGCCTCAGAAATGAAACAAAACAGCCTGAAAGTTTTTACACTAGGCTAATCAGAGCTGTTGATTGTAACTGTAAAGTTCCCAACTTTTTGTGATGCTTCATTGAAGAGTTATGCCGGGTAAGAGGTAGCGGCCATTTTTTCAATGTTCCTGAAAAATACGGTTACATCGTTTAGAAAGCTTCGCAATCTTGTGAATAGTTGAGTATTGAACTCAGCGTCCATAAAAACCCTATTACACAAGTTTTCATATTTTTTCTGAAAAATTTTAGACCGGCAGCTTTTTCCACATTGACACCATATGTTTCAAGAAGTTTCTGCCGTAATCCTACAGTAATGAAGAGCGATAGATGATTCGCTCCATAATGAAAATCTAAGTTGAAGCCAGCTCTACAAAATGGTACCTGAAACAAGGCAAAAGGCTTGTTGGGGAGGAAGATATTAACGATCAAACAGTGTATACATACTTTACGGACACCCTGTATAATAACTCAATAGGAATTCATGAGCCACACTCAAAAAGAGCAATCTCAAACTTAGACGCAACACTCGAGAAAAATGTCCTCGTCTTTCTAATAAGATAAATTGCGAGACTGTACTCATTTTGTTTACACATCCGTTAAGTTAATTCGATTGCATGTGATCAACTCTGCAAGGATGCTCGGCTCATCTTCAATGTTCAATTTCCTTTTCTGATTCGTTAAGATTTCTCCAAGCGGCTATACGAACTTTCCAAAAGTTTTAGGCTTTGAACCCTCTTGATCGTTCGAGAAAAAAACGGTCAGGCACCACTCATCTTCATGGAAATATGGCTCACTTATATATATACAGTAATTCAATTTGAATATATTCATACATGCAAATGTACAGTATAGCAATCTATTGAACTGGTGTGATTCGAAGCGGTTGCGGCTTTGGAAGAAGTATGCCAACATAGATCGGTTCCAAATCGACGGGTCTTTCCTTCGTAGGTTCAATCTGCAGATAAGTAATCGAATTTCTTGAGCAATCTGAAAATACTTACTAACCTTGAAATGTTGAAGTAAAGTGACGAAACCAACAAATAGCTCCACCATCGCCAAAGCCTCTCCCGCGCATTGCCTTTTTCCAATAGAAAAAGGACACAGTTGTTCCGTTGCTTCCTAAAGAGAATATTTAGCTATTTTTGCTTGTCCCAAAATTTTTAGGAACCCTACTTTATTAAATGTGGTCCCATCATCCATCAGGAATCTTTCCGGTAGAAATTGCTCAGCATCTTTGTAGACGGGAGAGTGAGCCATGACATGGTTAATATGGCCAATCACAAAGGTGTTTGCAGGAATTGGAATGGAGCCAACGCTAGTGTCTTTTGTGGTACGGTGAAAGACATTTAAGGAAACAATGTTGGCACATCTTTGAATCTCGTAAATAGTTGCACTAGAAAGCGATAATTGCCTTTTCATTATCTGCATCTGAAGCCCGTACTCACATAGTGTATGGCATTCGGTTTCGGAAGTCAGCAGTGGGTTTTCGGTCTGGTCCGAGAACTGACATGATTTCCTCGCGAACTTTGTCCTGTAAAGTTCGGGATTGATTCAGGGGAGCTAAGAGAGCAATTTATATGAAACTCCGTGTGTTATTCATCTATCAAGTAAGTTCCCTAGTTTATCTTATTGAAGGAATCAAAATCTGCTCCAGCATTTGCTTAACAAATCATTGTTCGCACTTTGCAAGTATGAAGTAGAAATTATCAGTACAGGCGTCTACGTATCATATAACCATTATAGTATTATCGGGTTGTTCCATAGGGAACTTCTTACGAAGAACTAGAAACACAACAAACAAAACGTCAAAAAGATTTGAAACAAAACAACAGCATTATTAAGGGAGTAATAATTGCAAATAGCCTCTTAGATGTTTTTGAGGGAATACGGTTCTACTATGAGGGTGTTTCAAATTTTTTTTTCGTTTTCATTACAACCGCCGTGTTTTTGTATTTTTTTATCAATTAATGTGGATTGAGTAATCATTCGATAGGGCAAAGCAAGCTCTGCAAGATGGCTACCAAGAGTCTGCCTTGGTCGTATTCCACGTGAAGTTTTGAGCTGAAATCTGATAGCGGTCGAAAACGAACTCCACCGTTAAGAATCGTAACTCCGCGCCAAAAATTTTTAAAATTTCCCATTTATCCTAGCATATGCTAAACACATCGAACATTCAATTGTACACTTTGCGTATTATTCCAGGCAAGAAATAAAGAAAAAATGAATGGAGTAAAATGGCAAACTCCGCCCCTAGAAGTCCTAGGCTCTTCCCACACAAGTGATCCGATAGCTCATACACACAAATACGATCATGTATTTGTGCCCTTGGTAGGTGCCCCAAATCTCGAGAAATGCTGAAGGGTAAAAACGGTAAAAAATTATGAGACACCCTAATATAAATATCGATTCTCGTGTAAACTTATCAACATCATGTGAAACACGACATAAAAAGAAATTACTTCAAACAAAGCTTAATCGCAAAATAGGCGTTAAATTTTATTTAGCCCATAATTTTTAGATTTTGTCTAGGTTGTATTCGGTACGTCGAATAGCCATAACCCAGAAGCTTTGGATCAGATTTTGCTCAGATACTGTTCTGGAAGGCTTCGTTTTATATCGTTCTAGCTATCCATATATGTAGCATTGAACCAAAAAGTGTTACCAAAGTATTATCTATCTGACTAACATTTTTGGAAGCTATTTTTCCAGCTTGGCAAAATACATGGACGTTCATGACATTTTTCTCGAAGTCACTGTTATGAGTATGTTGTATGCAGTTCTTAAAAACGTGTGTTTTCTCACCTGGACCGACTGATTCGTAGCCATGTATAATGAGCCCCATCTAAGTGTTGTAGTAGTAGTTTCCATACCAGCTAGAAAGAAATCCATGCATACATTGAGAAGGTTTTCATAGCTAGAATTGCCATAGTATTTTCCTGGAGCTTATTTATTGCCTGAGCAACTTACTTTAGGTTTTTATTTGTCTGCATTTTCTTATAGTATGCTTGTGCCAAACA